CTTTCTATTCTGTATATATATATATATATATATATATATATATATAGAAGTTTTTTTGTTTAACAAATATTAATTTTATTAGGATTGTGATTAAGTTATTCATAATGGAAGGATCGATTAATTGAAAAAGAATTATGCAGTTTCTGAAATTAATATAGTGAAGCATTAGTTAATCGAAATCAACTATCGTGAAAGAAAAGCTCGACATCTCTGCTATTATATTAAATAGAGCAAGATGCAGATAAAATTCAGTTGTATTATATTATAATGTAACTTGCCAAATTAAATTTTTTAAATAATAAATCGAAAATTTAAAGATGTTTCATATTATTTTAGATGATATTTGATAATTGATTATTCCAATTATTTAATTGGTAATTATTTAAAATAGGAAAATCTTCGCTAATTTCGATGATTTTTAAATATATTATCAAAATTAACATTTTGAACAATTTTTTTTTATATGTTATCTCCATTCAGCCTAGTTTTCGAGATATTTGCAAAAAAAAGATTGTTATTGATATAGAATTATTAGAATTTATTATATATATATATATATGCTCGCAGCTGCATAAGTATGTAATTGTTATCCTCAATTAATATAAACATGGCAGCTAAGATGGATAGAGTGAATTAATAAAAAATCTACTTTCTGATGAATTATGAATAATGATAGTAAGTTTAAAATATTTCAAATTTATTAGCTTGAACATTCCACAAATCTTTTAAAGATTTGAGGTGATTTTAAATTTAATATTTTAAATTTTCATAAGAATATTTAATTTATAAGAAATAATAGAAATAATTTATAAGAAGCTTTTTGAATAAATTATCCGTTATTTATTTTGGACGCTGCTGCGATATATTTATAGAAACAGCAGATAAATGATGAAAACAACAGTCGGATGTTTATATATATACAGTTACGGATATACGAGAAATTAAAAATATAAGAGAAATTCTATATAATAGCAATTTTTTTTTCAAATATCTTTTTTTTTAATATTTTTTTTTTAAATATAGCCAAACGGCAGTAACATGTAAAAAAAGAAGTTGTTTAAAATATCGATTTTAATAACATATTCAAAAATCATAAAAATGAGAACCTCTTTATTCCATATATATTTTTATATATGGAATAATTATCAAAACTTGATCTTCAGTACATTGATCTACCTATTCAGATATTATTAAATAATTGTTTTCATTATAATAGCGATCATCATTGATTATCGAGTAGTTACTGTACTCATTGGTTATATTATAGAATCATATAAAATTAATATATATAAAATTTATATAAAATTTCAGTAATAGATAATATAAATTGCAATAATTATAGAACTTTTATATACATAATGTCTATATCAATTGTTCGTAAATCTTTAAGAGTTTCGATTTGTAATTCAAATACATTTGATGATCAGATTTATATGAACTTTATATATTTTTAATTCTATTTCTATTTGAATAGTTTTTATTCTATTGCTATTTCTTGTAGTTATGTTCTACATTTTAATTTCGATAGCTGAAAAATCTAATTATTCATTATCAAAGAATTAAGTACATTTGACTTATCAAATATTATTCACATAGATTAGGATTGAGTTAGATTATATTATTTTCTGGTCACGAGAAAATGACTTATAATACCAGAATAATACTCATGTTGAAATTTTATATAACTTATAAATATAGAATCCGATATCATTATAGTGTCATACTATCAATTACTCGATAATCATCAATAATAACTATTACAGCGAAGATAGTTATATTAGTAACATCTGGACAGATAGCATAATCATAATATATAGATACATAATACGCAACTTGTTAATATATAGTATAAAGTTTTTTTTAATAATATCTCAGAAATAAATATTCGAAATTAAAATTTTCAATCAAAAGTCCATTTCCTTTACCGCCTCTTCGAATTTCATATCATCAATAATTAGTGTCTTTCGATATTTATAATGTATAATTATAATTCTTTTTGTATTACGTTATATTAATGTTCTAAAATAAACAATTGTGCATTTGAAATGCATATGAATATATCATCTTTAAAATTTTTATTTATTCTTGCAATATTGATTCGGCATAAAAGATACTAATACAATTGTAAACACGCATGGTTTACTTATTTAGCGTTTTTAATCAAAATTAAATTACTTATAATTTGATAAAGCTTCAATTGCATAACAATTTTTATGTTTAGTTTTAAAATCTATCGAAAAATCGAATATATCATCATATATATATCATGTATATATTTTTAAAGGAAAACTTAAAAAAAAATTCATTCAAATTTATAAGAAAATAAATTTTTAAATTTAAGTTACTATACATGTTAATTATCAACAGTTGATATATATTGATGTTAGTATATACAAAGGAAATGAAAGTGGATTCTATATCACGATAAAAGAAGCTGATATAAGGTTTAATTAACAAATTACAAAAATTTTAAGTGCGTTAGATAATAGAGAATAATCACTTATTATTTATGTAGTATACTTCTTTAATAAAAAGAAGAGAAATTATTTCGACATTTTAGTATAATATAATGCAAGATCTATTATATGTCGTATAACTTATCCCGAAAGTTATCTCAAATCAATTTCAGTATATTATATTCTATATTTTATTTAAATCCATAGATGAATTATATTATATTCAATCAGCCTATTTACTAAAATTTATAGATAAATTATTATATTATATTTAATTAGCCTTGTTGAAATTCATTGGAGTAAATCAAAATATAATAAGAAAAAAAATGAATAATATTTTTCAATACAAACTTATTTTTTTTAAATAATGTAGTATTAATATGTTAAACTATTAACATATTAAAAAAAATCAATATATATAATATTTGATTATAATATTTAAATCAATTTGAATTTCATAAATCATTGAATCATTGAATAGATCTATTTCATTTGCAATTAATGTTTTTTATTTCAATGTAAGATTAGAAAAGAATAACAATCAAAATTCATTTATCATCTTAACATAATAATGTTCATTAAAAATCCATATAATCACTTTTCATATTACTAGTGTGTATTGATTTTTTCGAATAAAATTATTTTGATAAATAATTATCATTTATATGAAAGTTATTTATATAAAACTTTATTCTAAACATATATTCAAATATGTTATTTTATCAAACTTGATTTCATAACACAAATATAGGTTCTTACATACATTGAAATATATTGCGATGAATGTATCGATTCATCGAATGGCTCGCACTCTGGAAATGATAGAATGATGGAAATGATGTTTCAAATTTGTGTAAGCCAATTGATTTAAATCCATTATAAGTCGATGCATGCATTGCAATATGTTTCAACTTCAGTAAATTAATGATGTAAAATAATGTAAAAAAAAATATATTATTCTAATAAGTTCAGAATAAGGATGTATTTTAAGAACATATAAAAATATAGCGAGTAGGATATGGTTACAATGTAATTAAATCGTGAGTTTTTCTATCATGTATGCTGTCTATCATATCATATTTTTTCAGTCAATCATTTTTATTATATTGCTAGGGGAATCTGTTTGGTATATACTTATTCTAACAATATATTACTGAAATTTTATTTAATTATTCATAATCGAAAAAAAGATGATAGAAAGAAAAAATAAGATAGTAATATTTGAATTTTATCTTTTTGTATGTTAGATATAAAATCTTTGCTACGAAAGCTTTACTCAACAATTTTTCGAATTAGGATGTTACTTTTAATAATTCCATCATTTCGGAAATAATAGTATAAAAAAAAAAAAGATAATGGATTTATAATATGTATTCATGAAGGCATTCAAGGCATTCATGAATATATAATATTAATATGTGATATTAATTCACATTATTTGATTTGTTGTTATTAAATTAAGATATTTAATTTCGTCTATTATTATTATTTTTTTTTTTGATTCAATAATCTCATATTAAAATAAAATATTAAATCCAAAATAAAGATCTATAAAGATTTGCTATGATTTGTGATTCATTAATCTACATACAAGGATCTATGAAATTCAAATTAATTTAAATAAAAGAAGCAAGTTTTTGTGTAAAAAATATCATTCAATCTTTCTAACTCGAAATCTTATTAGAATTGTTTTAATTTGTTCCTATAGACTAGTAAATAGACAAATTAAGTGTTAACCATTTACATATGGATTTAAATAAAGTGACAACAGCAATTTTTAAAAAGAATTTTTTACATATTGATAGCTAAATTAATTCTTTTATATATATTATAGCTCTTATTTTATCTTCTTTTTTTACATTTAATATATTTAATACAAACTTAAAATGCTTATAACTTGTTAATTATATCTTATCGAACATTCGTATATATGAACTTTTTTTATTGCTTTAATGTCTATAATTCACAGTGTTTTACATTTTTATAAAATTATATAATCCTATAGAAATACATATAGGATATTTCATATAAATTGACATTCGAATATTTACCAAACTCTGATGATAATTTTTCAAATTTAAAAAAATTTTAAAAAATTTAATAATTTCAGGAAGCATGCAATTTGACATAATTAATTTTTTTGTATATAGATTATAAAAAATATGAGAGGATATGAGAACAATTTTGTTTTTTTAAAATGAATTTTTTTGGTCACGGATGCAGCTTGATATTTTCTATATAAAATAGTATTTTTAAATCTTTTTCTACATATATTCTGTGTTTTAATATATACCTATAAGAAAAAGTTTTTATTTTATTTAAAAGCTATTAAATCAAATGAAAATTCAATATAATTAATTAATTTTCCTATCCAACTATTGTAGTATAAATTATATAATGTTTAATAATTTAAAATAATTAAATTAATTTCTAAATAATATAGATAAAAAAAAAAGTATCCATAATTTTAATAATTATAATATACATATAATTTTATTAATAATATAAAAGTATCAAACATAAAGTTAAATATAAAGAATCAATAATTTTAGCTAAAAAAAATGAAATAGAAATTTTATTTAGTTTTATTTAAAGTAATAAATATAACTTCGCTCATATAATTTATTTAATAATTTATTTATTTTTTTTATAATTAAATATGCAAAATTTTTTTAATTTGCTTCTCTTTTTGTTGTCACATTTTTATTGTTTAAATTTACAAACTTTCGAAAAATGTTGTATTCGAAATTATATATATAAGTATAATATTGATTTCATAGAATATCAATCAAAATTTCATTGATATTTATCATATATATAAAATTATTATATATTTATCATATATAAAATTTTTCAGCAAATATTCACATTAAGAGAAATAACATTAATAGCAATATAATTATGGCATATAATGTAATTTTTTTTAATCAAAATAATTAAATTTTTTCTTATAATAAATTTTTTCTTTTTTCTTATATAATTTCTTCTTATAGAAAATTTTTCGAAAAACTAAATATAATTTTCATCCGTTGGATTCATTTATATATTATTACTAGAACTTTTATATCAATAATTGCTTGATTATTATAGATATATATTATTAGACTATATATAAAAAACATATCTAGTTAAAAAAATAATAATTAGTGAATTCACGGAATATCCTTTGTTCCTTGTGAATAAACATTAATAACAACGTCTTTGTCGAATGCTAGGATGCAAGTTCAATATTTTAATTTTTTATTAGTTTTTTAATTAGATATATTATAAAATTTTTAATTAAATATTTTTTATTTTCATAATGAAATAAAAAATGAAATTAAAAAATTTACTTTTGCATTAGTATCATCAATACTATAATATAGTTTTTTTGAATTTCAAAAATCTCTAGATCTTCTTTCTTTCTCGGTAGATTTTCTTATTCGGTGTCTTTTTCTATGTTTGACAAAAAATTAACATACAAATTTTACACACATCGAACTATATGAAAAGTAAGAATCAATATTTTTATCGAGTAATTGCAAAGTTTCAGTCCAATATTCACTTTATATTTATGAGAAATCATATTTTTCCGTTTATTTTTCAGCTATTGTTGCGGGTTGTAGCGCAGCGGCAATATTTATCTTCGTTTTAATCGCTTTAACATGGTGCAGGTATTACAACAAATAATATTTTTTTAACTTTAATAAATAAATGATAAATCAATTAATTTCATTAAATTTTTTCAGGCTAAAGCGAGGCGCTAAAGCGGCGGCTGACATAGAATATCCAGCTTATGGTGTAACTGGCCCGAATAAAGAAGTCTCACCTTCGGGAGACCAAAGACTCGCTCAGTCTGCACAGATGTATCATTTCCAACACCAAAAGCAACAAATTATCGCTATGGAAAAGTAAGTCACGTAAATAATATTTTGATATAGTAATTTTTATTTTATTTTTTTCGTTTTTAAAACTTTTTGAAGTAAATAGGAGTTCCGCAGAGATAATATTTGTTAAATTTTGGAAAGTGTTGAAACGGTTTTAAGAAATTTTATTTTAATTAGAGTATATTGTTTGGATAATGATTTGTGTAGTCGTGTTTCTGCAACTAGAGATCCAGGCTCAGTATCTGAAGCAGAAAGCGAGGAAGAAAATGAAGAAGGGGACTATACCGTTTATGAATGTCCAGGACTAGCTTCTGTAAGTTATATATTTATATTTATTTCATAAAACTTGATCAATTGAAAACGACGAGGGAAAAATTTAATAAGTTAGATTTAGATTTAGAATTTATATATAATTATAAATTAATATTATATTTTATATTATATATTATTATAATTTATTAGATTTTCTATAATTATGATGCATTAAAACACTATTTTCTAACTATTAAATCATATGAAAAATAGAAAATCAAATTCTTATAAATTCTTATTCTCTCTCTATTTTTCTCGACTTATTAAATTATTCTCTTATTTATATATTTTATATATTTATTTATATATTTTGAAATTTTTCTCTCTTTATATCATATGATATTTGTGAAATTTTTGTTTCATTCTTTCATTTTTCAATTATAAAGATATATATATATGTTTTATATATATATATATTTCGAATATGTACATATATATATTTTTTTTTGCAAAGACTGGTGAAATGGAAGTAAAGAATCCATTGTTCCATGATGATCCAACACCAGCAACACCAGCACAAAATAACAAAGAAGAGGACCACATATAGTTTGAATAAATATTAAATATATTTAATTTGAATATTTTTTCTGGTGCTTAGCTCACTGTTAATGTACCATATCGGAAACATTTATCTATATATCGAATGTAAACAACTTTAATATTTATATGACGCGGGAAGTCAAAATAGAAAATTAACTAAAGGTCTGAATATAAGACCATTTTTGCGTTTCGTGTAAGGGATATACCATATGAAACGATGAATATTCTACATCGTTACAAACTATCGTGTTTGTTTGAAAACACATATTTTTTAACTCCATGATGTACTATAGTTTGTACTTTCATAGCAAGTATGGTTAGCTATATTGATTGACATTATTTTTCTACTCACCGTTACACTTGCAACATAGAGTACAGATTGGAGATCGTATAATACGTACTATAATATCTAATATCACTTTATATACCTGATTCTAATTTTTAAATCTAGAGATTAATATTTGTTATGCATGTTTTCAATACTTTTTTCCCACTATATATCAATAAGTATTGACATTTACAATGGAAAATAGAATCTTTATAATTTTGAAGTGCTGATAAATATCAAAAATAAATTTAAATTTTAAATGTAATTTAAATTTCAGTTCAAATTTATGAACTTATTATTACATACTATTAATAATTTGTTTGAGATTAAATTAAATATAGTTTATGTTGGAATATTATAAATCTATGTTATAAAGTTAGATATTATATTAAATTTAATATTTTCTTGAAAAAAGAAAGTATTTATAAAATTTAATAGAATAATAGAATTAATTTGATATAAAGCGAATTGAGAATCATAATGATATAAATCCAATCATTAGAAAATAGAATATTGCTATAATTTCATTATTTTAAATTATTTTAATATACAAACAATAAGTGTAACTTCATAAAATCAACAAGAATAAAAAAAATAATATTAGAGAATAATAATATAAGAAAGTTTCTTTTCTTAATCTTGTTAGGATCAAATATTTTAGAAGTAAGAAAGATATTCTTTTCTTATTTAATTATTAACAACAAAAATATATCTTCTTTCAATATTTTCGTAAACAATATATTAAAATTTGAGATTTGTTTTACCGAATATTTTTATTATGTAATTATTCAATAATTTAATTTTTACTTTTAATGTTAAACTTAACGAAATTCATAATAAGTACTATCGCATATATGCAATATATATATATATATATATATATATATATATCAATTATAAATATAAATTTCTTAAAATGTTTGTATGTTATTTATATCATTGTGATTTGCAATCCGCTATATTATAATAGAAAAATTTATTTTATATATAATCTATTATCTTGATGTACTTATACGAGTAAAATTTTACGTTATAAATCAACGTGCACGCAGGTACACAAACAAAATTGATACACAAAAATGATAAAATAACTTCCATTTTGCATGTGCTGTTGCTTTTGGCATTATTGCTGTGATTTGTATCATCTAAATGAAAATTCTGTATATATATTATATATTTGTTACAAAAA